GATTGCTGGGGCTCCTCACCAATGTTAGGGGCCACGATGGCCACAGGGTTGAGGTAGGTGAGCTTCATGTTCTGTGCCAGGGTGCGGGCGTACTCCTCCAGCAGTTCCGCCAGCCCAGCAGCCCCCCGCTCGCCCAGAGACAGCGACCGCCACAGCCAGGCGCTGCTCGGACCCAGAACTGTGCTGCACCCGCGCACCAGGTTCTAGAGGGAGAGAGGGCAGAGGAGGAGATTGACACAGAGAAGGAGGGACAGGTAGGAGAGAGAGTGTGTTTATTATCCCCAGGGGGCAATTGGTGACACGATGCACACGCACATACTCGAAAGACGGAGGGAGAGATGCGTTTTAAGATGCATTTAAAAGTGGCCCAACCTGTCAAAGCACTTGCTCTGAGCTCAAGTCGGGCCCTACGATCCAGGAGTAACGGGTTCGAGCCTGGGCCGGGTCACTCAGAATCCCCAGGCCGTGGAGACCGAGTGGCGCAGAGGGGCAGCAACGCCGAGGACGGTGTTTGGAAAAGCGACACCTGAGACTTCCCAGGAGACCGCAGGCCAGCAGGGACACCAGAGAGGCGCACGTCTCTCTCCAATCGGCACCGAGCCTCCTGCTCGGCGCTGCGGAGTCCGAGACGCGGTGCGGGACCTGACAAGGCTGTCCTCACGCCTCTGTCTTCCCGTGTGGCACAGGGGACACCCGTGTGTGCGCGTGCACACGCCTGTGTCTGTGCACATGCGTGTGAGAGTGTGCATCGAGACAATAAAAACTCCACCAGCAGTCTCCCTCCTCATCCCTCCCTCTCTCACCTCGTTGAAGTGGGCGTCCTGCGTGGCGGTCAGCCCGAAGCCGGTCTGTCGGCTCTCGAACCCGAGCAGGCGGTGCAGCATCCTGTCGGCGATCTGGAGGTCGTTGCCGTAGAAACGGCCAGTCCCCTCGGCGACGTCGCGGAGCTGGTGGGCCAGTTTCTTGGCCTCGATGGTGCTGAGCTGCGTCTCGTTCCTCTCCAGAGCCTCCAGCTGTGGGAGAAACGCACACACACACACACACTTTGCCATTACCACAGTGGTGTTACCCGAGGCTCGTGTGAGTCTCTAGCACTCCTCCCCAGGCACCAGAACTCTCTCGGTTCTTTGTCTCTTTCTCTGGTAAACTCACGCAAACAGGGCAGAGATTTTTCCATCTTCTTCTTCCTCTCTCCTTATTCTCCCTCTACAGTGGCCTGCGTCTCCTTCCTCCCCTCTCTCTCTCTCTCTCTCACTACCTCGCCCCCCCACCCCCCTTCCTCTCTCCTCCACTCCCCCTCTCCCCCTCTCTCACCGCAGTGTTGAGCTCCATGAAGGCTGGGGAGGTGCAGTTGAAGAGGTCAGGGTCCAGCCATCCCCTCTCCATATCGCAGTGTCGGACAGCCGCTCCTGACAGGGGACAAACCAGGTCAGGACACAGAGACCAGGCCATCGGGACAGCGTGACCAGGAGATCAGGACACAGGCACCAGGAGATCAGGACAC